TATCCCACCTGAATTTACAGACCATCTCAAGAATAGATTTGATGCGTTGAACACTAATGACTGAAGACCAGACGATATGAGGAATGACATCTAAGACATCATGCATGAAGAAAGCAAGAGGTTATTAAAAAGAAGGAGAGAAAGAAAAGACCTAAATGGATGTCAGAAGAGACTCTGAAACTTGCTCTTGAATATCAAGGAGCTAAAGCAAAAGGAAAAAAGGATAAAGTAAAAGAGCTGAACAGAAGATTGCAAAGGGCAGCTGGAGAAGACAAAGTATCATGATGACATATGCAAAGCCCTGGAGATAGAACACCAGAAGGAAAAAACACACTCAGCATTTCTCAAGCTGAAAGAACTGAAGAAAAAAATTCAAACCTCGAGTTGCAATACTGAAGGATTCTTGGGGGAAAATATTAAACAATGCATAAGGCATCAAAAGAAGATGGAAGGAATACACAGAGTCACAATACCAATAGAATTGGACGCCGTTCAACCATTTCAGGAGGTAACATACGATCAGGAACCGATGGTACTGAAGGAAGAAGTTCAAGCTGCACTGAAGGCATTGGCGAAAAACAAGGCTCCAGGAATTGATGGAATATCAACTGAGATGTTTCAACAAACGGATGCAGTGCTGGAAGTGCTCACTTTCAAGACATCTGGAAGACAGCTACCTGGCCAACTAACTGGAAGAGATCCATGTTTATGCCTATTCCCAAGAAAGGCGATCCAACCGAAATTGAACAATGTCATTAATATCACACACAAGCAAAATTTTGCTGAAGATCCTGAAAAAGTGGCTGTAGCAGTATACCAACAGGAACTGCCAGAAATTCAAGCTGGATTTAGAAAAGGACGTGTAACCAGGGATATCACTACTGATGTCAGATGGATCCTGGCTGAAAGCAGAGAATACCAGAAAGATCTTTACCTGTGTCTTATTGACTATGCTAGGGCATTCGACTTTGTGGATCATAAAAAATTAAGTACAACATTGCGGAGAATGGGAATTCTGCAACACTTAATTGTGCTCATGATGAATCTATACATGATCAACAGGCAGTCGTAATCTGAAAGCTGGACTATATGAAGAAGAACGGGGCATCAGGATTGGAGGAAGACTCATTAACAACCTGCATCATGCAGATGACACAACCTTGCTTGCTGAAAGTGAAGAGGACTTGAAGCATTTACTGATGAAGATCAAAGACCACAGCCTTCAGTATGGATTACATCTCAACATAAAACAAATACCCTCACAACGGGGCCAATAAGCAACATTATGATAAACAGCAAAAAGATTGACGCTGTCAAGGATTTCATTTTACCTCGATCCCCAATCAACACCCATGGAAGCAGCAGTGAAGAAATCAAAAGACGCGTTGCATTGTGCAAATCCACTACAAAAGTCTTCTTTAAAGTGTCGAAAAGCAAAGATTTCACCTTGAGGACTAAGGGGTGCCTGACCCATACCATGGTGTTTTCGGTCACCTAATATGTATGCGAAAGCTGGACAATTAATAAGGAAGAAAGAAGAACTGACGCCTTTGAATC